AATCTTTCTGATAGGTTATAGTTTCAGGTGAGGTCCCCAAGGTGTCAATTCCTTATGAATAGAATATTAGTATCCACTGAACACCTCACTATGTTCACTCAGAGGACAGAGTATGGAACCTAGTGGAATGACTTTGTCAGCCTAGTGCAAAAGCTTTCGGATATTGTGCACTCTTAGAACCACCAACTTTGAGTGGCATGGTTGGAATACATCTCGGCCCGGGATGTGCCGCCCATGGTGATACGAGCGAATGTGACAGTAGTGGAAGGTTGATGCAGGAAAGAATGTGGACAGTTAGACAGTGCATAGTGATGACGGGAAGTGAGAGCTGATATGGCAGCCAGAAGTTCCTGGGTGCAACAGACGTGCATCATGGCCTAGTCCAAAGATCTAGCATCTTATTAAGGAACGAGAAGCTCAAAGGCAAAAGTGCACATTCGTGCACATCCATTTTTATACAGAGAACGAGGACGCGAGTAACAAAAAGTACTCTCCCATCAAAAGTGCAAATTCGTAGTAATCCCCAGAGCAGAGAACCCGTTTATCTTCTTAACTTTATGGGGAAACATGTATTCGCAGAGACGACTGAGACTTTTCTTTTCTTTTCTTTCGCTCCAACTGAAGCTTAGGGCCGCCAAAAGCGGAATCATCGTCATCCCCATCTCGCTGATCGTGCTGGCACGTAATGCTGATTTTGCGAAATAGTTTTGCCAGTTTGCGGGACTCCACATTTACAGGATGGTTCTGGAATCTTGGAATCTGAACATTAACGTAACACAGTTGATAGACTTACTTCCCATATGTCATACATTAGTTTTTTCCTTTATTCTCATATGTTCTTATAACGCTTTACAATATTTGATAAGTTAATTATGAGCATTTTTCATAATAACATCAAATTAAAAATCTGTTATATCTATGGGAAAAATAATTGATCCAGACACAAATAATTTTTCTAGACAGTTTGACTAAGATAGTTGGTGTATTTTAGTTGCTTCTCTACCATTTTGTTATTGTTTTTACGTAGCTCCTATGGTCTTGTTGTGTATTCCCATCCTCTTTGCTATTTCCTTGGCCCCCTGTTTTCATTGATCCCATGCAATGTATAATCGCCATTCTCTTGATTACTCTTCTCGAGAGTACATTAGTCATATGCCATCATGGTTCGCAGCCGACAGTCTCGACATCCTTCTGCGAAACGTCTGAAAAAATTGCCATTTATTGCTTATGTCGCAAACTTGCACATCAATTCATGTTTGTGGTGCTTTGTTTAAATAATCTTCGAGCATACTCAAACCAATACGCGTCTGACGTTGTTGATGTAGTTCACAAGCCAGACACTAGCGACGAAGTCAAGTGATCTCGTTAAAAAGTTAAATGTCGCGCTCAGGATTGGTTCTGAGGGGTTCAGAACCAATCCTCTGCTGCTGGCTCACACAAACGATACAACCGACCGACTTACACAACTGGAATTCTCTCCAGAACCTCGAGCCGAGTTTGGAACTAACGCATCAGCTCTGCAGCCACAACTGGAGCACGAGAGAAACAAAGCGACCGCGCGAAGTGAAGCTTCGAAAGTTAAGAAGCCAGGAAATAGTATCCTGCACAAGGCTTCGTGCAGACGAAAGCGATGACGGGTCGTACTGCTGGCCGTGGGAGGAGGTCACCATCCCAGGTGTGAAGCATATCAAATGATCGGGCACAGAAAGAACGAGGGCTGGCCATGGCTGGCTCGCATGCGTGGCCGTTCTCACTGCTCTACCCCCTCACCCCCTCACCCGCTCACGCTCGTGAGACAGTTGTGGACCGTGATGGACTAATGTGACTCGCGTCAACACTAATCCCCGGTCAACAAACCAGCGAGTCAGCTAACTCTGGGCCCTGATCTCTGCTCGAATCACACTGTAACTGACGATATCTGTCCATATGCAGGTATCTCCTTTATCAGGCTTAACAGTTTTCAGTGAAGTTATCATGGGGCACATTTAGGGATGGGCACTGCTCGGCTAACGGTAAAATATTGGAGACCTCTATCTGAGACCGAAAACGAAACGTGAACCCAGACCGAATTTACGTTTTCGGCCGATTATTTACTCATATTCGGCCAAAATTATCCAATAAACATATATTTTGGCCTAATATTTCGGTTGATGGCCAATAGTCCATTATCCGGCTAAATTTTAGGCCTAGCCGGCTAGCCGTTACTATCGGCTAGCCGGCTAGCTGAAAGTTAGCCGGCTACGTGCCCATCCCTAGGCACATTGGTTCATATCATCGGGCCATGAACTATCACAGTGTATGTGTGTAGCGGCAAGTTATGGATGGAATACATTGCGTTTTTCCCTGTCACTACTTTAGTCACTTTTATTTCATAATTAGTAATGATTACATGTAAGCCACTCATTGAGGTCTATCAGATGACATGCTTTATCCACATTTATTTGAGTTCAAATTTCTTTCAATTTTGATAGGTGACTTAGACATATATAGTCTTTTAATGTATTTATATTTTTTAACATTCTCTGAATTTACTTGTAGTGGACCTGGATCCAGCGATTTCTTGTACTGCTAGGATTCATATATTCTCTTGCTCAACTATATATGAAAAATTTGAAGTTTGGATCCAACATCCTATCATTTGTACCCGTTATTTTATTCTACAACAATGAACTTTTTTCTTGGTTGGTTCATTGAATCATATATTTAGTATGCAGGAATAAAAGTTAATGTTTCAGTTATATACATGCCTACACGATGAGTTGCTCAATTTGATAGCATTAGGGAATATATGAAATGTGTAAAAATTGCAAATTAAACTATGCAATCAACACAAATTACTTGAATTAGAAAAGACCCAAAAAATACAAGATTGGTAACTCTTTCTTTGATAGAAATCTTGCTCCAAATAGTGAAGCAAATTACGAGGAGCTCCTTGCTACGTAGGAGTAACACATGTAAGAGGATTCTTGAGATAGTCTCTAATTATATGCAATTACGATTTAAGATTCAATCTCTTGCTTCTCCATACTACTTTAATACATTTTTTGAAGTATATATCATCGTTTTGCCCAATGAATATGTCTAATAGTAAAAAATGCATGTGATTGAATTAAAAAGAACATTACATGTTTTGAAATTTGTGAAACAGCGGAATATTACACAAAAATAAAAACGTAAGACATTGTGACATTGCTTGTCTTTTGTCTTTTTAGACAAAAGAAAAGTGCAAGCAATGAAAAGTAGTGAAAAGTGACAAATCATGAAAATCTCATTGTCATTGTCAAATTCTTGAATATTTAAGAATAATATTCAGAAATTCATACATATATATCTCAATCATTGATGCATCATATGCAAGTTGAAATTAAAACTCTAGATCTCGAGATATCTTTTGCAATTATAAAATTGAAAGTGAAGTTTTAAGATCTTCAAATTAAAGATTTTACAATCAGCATCATTGCATTACAAAGCATTTGGTTTTAAAGTAGATGGCCTAGAATATTGTTTAAACTTGGCACGTCAAATTGAAAATTATGCTAAAATACTCTATATTTCTTATTCCTACCAAACAAGCTTGAACATAACATTTAAGCTTGGTTTCTTAAATTGCTAATTGAAAAATAACAGCAGAAGTTGCAGCAGTTTTTTATCTAACTTTTGGTTTTGAAATGCAGATCATCATCAAAATATAACGTTATTTGGGTTTATAAATTACCAGCAAGCTAGTTAACTCCAATCTCATTAGTCTATATACTTTGAGAAAACCAACAGTGTTTTGGCTTTGACCAATGTCATGCTTAATCAAGATATTGATCAAAGGATTGCAACATCTTACAGATCGGGAGATGTTGTTAGACTATTGATGTCAATTTTTTCTGAACTGTAAGTGGATGACCATCTTTCTGTGATATTGTGATTTTATGTAAAGAATCCTAGTCAAATTGTTGACGAACTTCTTCAAAGTCAAGGTAACAGTCGTGTCACTAATGACATGTTGACGATGATAATAGTATGTTTTACATTCTCATCTCCAACAATACAATAAAGTTTACCGGGCACGACAGACAATGCTCGTTAAGTTGAACTATATTTTGCATGCTAATGCAGCAATCACATCTTTATCGGATTTTTCTCAATCTGTTTACAGAGTGACGGGCAAGATGTCTGATGAACCAATAACCATCTCTATTTCATCAGGTGCTCATGGTTGGTGAAGCTAATGCGACATTTGGAGACGTGTCCTCGTTCGCTATAGAAATGTTTATGTTTATTTATTATTTAGTCGCTATAGATTATGTCAAACTGACAATCATCGTTGAACATCGTTGCAATGTCACTGTTGACTATTACTACATATATCATTACAAATTACAATAGTTATGCAAATGTGAACAAAGCGTGGAATTCAGAGATGAGGCGATGGATGCCCACTACCAAACCCATCACGCGTGGCGAGAGAAGAATCGGGAGTACCCAGTCCACCGGAGCCAGGAAAGCCAGGTACCAGCCGGCCTCCACGGCGACAGAAGGGAGCCTGTCATGCTGGTGAAGGGACCGCGGCAGACGGGGTCGGAATTCCCATGCTACCGGAACCCGGTCAGCGCCAAAGCGACCGGACGGCGAGGGTGACGGGCGGGATCAATGGAACAGAAGGGGACCTGTCACAAGGGAATGGAAGGGAACGGAAGGGAAACGGAGTCGGCCCCGACTGGGACGGGGTTCCGCAGGATGGGATGGGATGGGATGGGTTGGGAAGGGAAAGGAACCATGATCGGGAGGTGGGCCCCGCGGGCAGAATTCTTGAAAAGGAGTCCGAGGGTCCGCCATGTGAAGCGAAGGGCTCGAGACTTTTATAAGAAAGCGGAAAAGGAGGGCAGCGAATGAGAATTAATTAAGAAAATTAAGAAAATGCGGGGCCCTGTGGGGCAGCACGGGCGGGTCGCTTTCACGACATCGACACATGATGCCCCACATCAGGTGCTGGAGCGATGGCTCGCAGCATATGTGCACGTACAAGAAGGCGCCCCGCGGAATTGCTCCATGCGTCTGGCGATCGGATCATTCTTGAGCATAGAGAGGGTGCGCAGAGAGAGAGAGAGAGAGGGGGAGTGTGTGTGTGTGTGTGTGAGAGAGAGATCCTCAGAACGAAGCAGTAGCAGCAGCAGCGTCGGTCGGTCGATCGATCGATCGCCTTTCGTCTCCCTTCCTTTCACTGCTTCCTTAGGTCGATCGCGCCAGCGCTTGCGGCAGAGCTCTGCAATTTTGTGGGTGCGTGCTGTCGCCGGCTTTTCTTTCGTTCGATTGTCGGTCGGCGCTCGGGCGAGAGAGTGAGAGAGTGAGAGAGAGAGAGAGAGGGTTGAGGAGGTTGAGGAGGTTCGAGGCGAGGAGCGATCATGTCGTGGCAAGCGTACGTCGACGAGCACTTGATGCTGGAGATTTCTCCGGGGCATTGGCTGAGCTCGGCGGCGATCATCGGGCAGGACGGGAACGTGTGGGCGCAGAGCGCCAACTTCCCCGAGCTGCAGGGGGATGAAATCGACAAGGTCGTCAAGGGCTTTGTGGACGCGGCTCAGATCTCGATGCACGGCTTGTATCTGGGGGGCCTCAAGTACATGGTCATCCAGGGCGAGCCCGGCCAGGTTCTGCGCGGGAAGAAGGGGACCGGAGGTGTGTGCATCAAGAAGACGAACAGCGCTTTGGTGATCGGTCTGTACGAGGATCCCACCAAACCGGGCGAGTGCAACATTGTGGTCGAGAGGCTGGGCGATTATCTGTACGAACAGGGAATTTAAGCGGGCGCGCTCGTCTCATCGCATCACATCGCATCGGAACCTGGGTCTTCGGGAGGCTGCTGCTGCTGCTGCTGCTGCCGCGAGTCTTCATGTACAAGTATTGAGTGTCGCTATGGAATTACGATTTGATGGTGGAGTCTTTCACATGCCCACACTGTGGAGAACAACAATGGGGCGCCCATGAGTTGCATGACATGAGCGGAAGTTCATTTGTTCGAGCCCACTTGGCTTCCGGTGGCCTGGTTGCAGTTTTCTGCTTAGATCATCGACATGATGCCCATGAATTGCACCGATTGGATGCCCGAGGCCCACTTGACTGGCTTAGCGTTTGGTGAGATACCTGTCTGCTCGGACGTACGAGCAGACGTTTTGCTGCTGCATCGTTATAGGAGTTCAAGAGGATCCAGGACCTTTGCCACGGACTTCGTCAGTCCTCTGATATCTGGCTTGTAGAATATAGGAGCCTTTCTCTTTTCGTTGAGCATGTTGATGATCATGTACTCTGCGTCATCGATGGCTTGGGGTTCGCAGTCAACATTTTACTAGTTTTGGGAACCCTTACTGTCAGACCTCGAAAGTGGGACATATTTGTCATAGTTTTGAACTTACCAGTCTCCTCTTTCCTTCTTCTGTTGGATTCCCAGGCCGTCTACGTTTTCTGTGCACTTCTCTCACAAAGTAATAAAATCCAAAAAAATTTCTCACGAGTGTGTGCTGTCGACTTTCGTCACGATCCCTACAAAATCCCGAATCCAGTCTGTCATGAGAAGCGATCCATCTTGTCTTCGGATGGTAGATACCCTGAACGAACGAACGAGGTCGAGCCGGCATGAAATCGAGAATAGGAATAAGGAGGACTCGAGTGCAAATAAGAAGTACTCATGGTCGCAATGCATATCTCGGCATGTCTCATAATGCATAGCCCGTAATGCTGTCCATTTCAAGAAACTTTTCAGTGAAGCAGATCATGATATGTCCACCGTATCACTGCCGGACGAGATAACAAGCTGATAATACCATCCATAGACGAACAACGACAAACTACTTTAGCCACTGAGCAGACGATCGAATAGCAACGAAATTATCTCTAGGAGAAACTCCGCATTCTTCTCGGCTCGAACGGTCCATCCTGCCCATTCGGGAATGTTCTCACAAAATCTATCCGCACAGGGCAGACCTACCGCCAGTACACTAGGCAAAGATTGTGTGTCGTTCTGATGTCAGAGTTAACCCGTGACAACCTCATTCAACTACATCCATGTACACAAGATAGTCTGGGAGAAGAAAATTTTCCCTCTCGCATTTACTACGTAAAGTTGATAACAAGGGACATGCATCATGAGGTCAGGAATTCGACTGGCATATTGTTGATAAATGAAGTAAAAATCAGATTTATGAAGCGTTGCTGACTTCAGCAGGCTGCGACGAGGATTATGTGAGCAACGGTAAAGAGAAGAAAAAGTCAACGGGACACCGAGGAGTACAGTATCCAAGTCTGCAACTGTGCCAAAATAATCGTCTTTAATACCTGTGTGGAATTTTTGGTGCACAGTGTCAACTTGTCGGGCTGGTGGACCATCGACAAAACCGCGTGAAAAGTACACTGTTGGGGCTCCTCGGCGATGCGTACCCCACACGAAGACCGCAAGACAAGACCTCACACGGTACCGGCCACGAATACTCTGAAGCAATGTCCATCATTCTGGTGATTGTCTGCGAACGGTCCAAGGTATTGCTGATCCCATCGGGCCAGCTCTTCCTGTCCTCACTCGTAACTGTTCGCACGATCTGTATCTCCACTGCCTCCCTCTGTTGCCAGAATCACGGCTTCTGGATGTGGGTCTCTGACAAGGCACGTGGTGGGCTCAGACGACACACGCCCTCCGGCCAAATCTGACATGTGCGTTCGCAGTCTACCTCTGAGTTGACGTGAGCACATCCAGGAACCAGGATTCAAGATGAATTCGGCTACACTGCCTCGGGGTCACCACGTCGTACTTCAACCTACTTGACAACGGGAGCAGGCTGAGCTAGGGCAAAGCCAACTCTACGTCAGAGTAGGACTCTCATTGCTTAACAAATCCCTGCATCTTGAAGATATATCCTGAACTCTCATTAGCTCGAGGGAAATACACACAGTACGATTTCACTTCGTAGAATGACTAGTCTCACCACCCTTAATCATCCAAACATCATCCCGCTTCGCACCGTCGGACATGAAGGTAATGCATTCTTAGATCACAGCACGTAAAAACATAAGAGACACGCCCTCTATAGGGATATTTCTGTCGAAATGTGAATTCTTGTAGCGATCCATCATCTGAAGATTGTTCAGATTAAAATTCCTGAACTTTCCTTCATGGCTTTGAAAACAGATGTTCACGAGGGTAAAATACTGTGGGAATCTCTTCCGTAGCATGTGAATGAACCCTTTCTTTCCGTTTCATTCTCAATTCATAAGCAACCAATAAACTGTTTCAAGTATGAAGAAAATTCTTCTTCATACTTTTCGGAATCAGCACTGGATCTATCATACTGCATATCAAGGGGGCCGTATATGCACCATGGGCACTAAGTGGTCATAGAATAGATGAGGAGATGAGCTTTTAGGCTACCGTCATCTTCGTTGGGGCGCACTACTTTGGCGACGAATAAAATTACGCATCTCTTCGTGCCTTTCTGCTTTTCCTACTAGCCTCTGAGTGGAAGGTTCATCCCATAGCAAAGCACCAATATCCCTAGCATAATTGTCGACTGCTTCAAATGTTTCCTGCGTTGAGAACCAGACACAAACGATGAGACATAAGAGTCTTCCAACTAGAATTTTATTCAATCTCATTATGATAAACAACTATGACCAGTCCATAATATCAACAGAACGTTTCTTCCAGAGTGAACTTCTATTTGTTGGTATACTTGAAAGTTAAACGTTCCAAATGATCCGCTGTTCAGGATAAACTTAAAAGGACCAAGTTGCAGAGATAGATGCATATCACATACCACAGTCGGAAATTCTTTGTACATATAGGCAGGAGACATCTGCACACGGTTGCGATCGTTCTCCCACAGACGAATCTGCGTTAATATCTCACCATTGTCAGCTACCCTTCATCCTAGGAAAAAGAAACAGCATACAACTTCACACACCAAATAGATCACATATTTTGAACGGATATTTCTCTATGCTTCAGTCACACATATAACAATAAATATTTTATATATTGCATATTGAAGGTCTAACCTCACAACAGTTACGTGCTTCCTTAAACTTCGGCAGCTTTCTTTCTTTCACTTCCAGCCAAACAATTCAAAATTACCTGATCCGTAACAGTTTCAGGCACGACAGGCGTCTTCTTCGCAGCATGCGGATGGGCGTGTTTTGACAAAAATGAGATCATCTGTCAGCAGTAAAAATTTTATTATAATCATCATAGTGAAGGATAGATGAGCAAATTGTCGACAGACGACTCACAACGGAAGGTTTGCAAAGAAGTCGTAAGTCTCTGTAAATGGATTTGAATATTACCTCATCTGAACTGATGCCACTTGCGAACGCTGTGCTAACACTTTCTTTCGTTAGAGACCCTACGACGAGATTAGGCAACTGGTACTCCAACCTGATAGATGTAAAAACAGCAAACAAGTTGAAATAAATCGCAGCATTGTTCATTCGTGCGAGAATCACACCCAAGCTATGTTATAGAAGCTGAATTACTCATCACTCGACATGACATAGGATGGAGTAGCGAAAGACCTTCATACTCCATGATAAGAACTACATGCTGAACGAAAATTCCCAAACGGAAATAGCTGATTTCAAATATTCCACTTGTTCTTACCGGACAAAAAGTCGTAGTATCTCTGCTTGTAATTTTGATGTTGTATAAGCATATATTCTGAAATTAGTCTCAACTACAACAAAGCCCTGCACGTAGTAAAGCAGACTTTTAGAACCCTACGTATCCATATATCCGATTATCAACAACAAACACTTGTGACAGTGCTGCGTTTGACTGTATAGAAGTGGACCTTGGACTGCGATTCAACCTCATGAGCTTAGTCAACTGACCCTGCAGAATTATGCCAATGGACACTTCGCATTACAGGAATCAACAGCTGATTAACCATCGTGTCACAGAAGCCTCAAAAAGTTGACGTGGTTCTACATCTCAAGCAGAAATTTTTTTAGATCTCGTACCTCTCCGGGCTGCACACCAGATGTCTCTGAAATGCTTGCCGAAAGGTTCGATGCTAACTTCGTTGGAATAAACCAACGATCTTTTGTACCCTGAATCACAAACAGTTGATTCTTTCACTCTGGAAAGAAAATACAGTAATTATCTAATACTCATAGCAATGGCACGAACGAACAGATGCCATCTTCACCGCAACTCATCGATCAGATGATTATATACAGTAAAACAAATAGCAACTCAGGATTCCATACGTACACAGTACTTTCAAAACTTCAGCTATTCATCATGTTCTATTTATACTGAACTGATTATGATAAAAAGCCTTACAAAGCTTCCAACAATAAACTGTCAGAGGGAAACAAACTTGTACTCACCGACTGGATTTGCAACACTCCGAGGGCAGCAAGCTCCTTGATGACATTTTGTTGCATGGGCGAAAGAGTGTTGAGATTATAGGGCTTCAAAAAGATAAAATAGGTGACTTTAGAAATTTCGGTCAACACGAACGGCTAGAATGTAGACTGGCCAGACCATCAACATGCAGACTGATGGAATAGCAGAAGGAGAGTTTTTGAAGATGAAGTGATATTCGTTACTTGGCATACAGAAAGAAACCAAGACGTCAAATGGATAAGTATTTACTTCTCCAATGTTGAGAAACCCAAGCTCAAGAAGGAAACTGATGAGCTCTGCACTATCCATTCCTCTGTCCTGTAACGAAAAGCATCACCCATAAATCTTTGTCACGCTACGATATTCGAGCATTTGAGAACTTTTTCACTCTTATATACAAAGCAGAATCAATCAACTATATTTTTCAAATTTACCAGTAACTACAAGGAATCTAATGTAATCATAACCAAATAACCTAGCACATGAGTACTACAGTATTGTGTCGAGCAAGAGAATACCTCTGCAGAAGCTACATATTCTCGAACTATCTGCCAAAGCTGAGAATTTGTATCCATCAGCTGCAAAAGGTTCAGAAACAAACATTAAATTCTCAAGATTTATAGTACAAAGAGCAGCCATGGTTCTTAACTTTCATACAGAGACTTTCTTGACCTTAACACTACAGACAGTGAAATCAACGAAATACAACCTTATACGTCATGTTTCCTTAAATGCCCAATATTTCAGAATGAAAATAGATGCTGATTCTGGTAGAGTTAACTAGTTTTCCTATATAATTGCTGCTAGAAAATCTCCACTCACCAGAAACTGGAATCCAGCATCGGTAATTTTAGGTGGCTCCTTTCCCCTGTAATCGCATAAAGTGCCCAATCTCAATTACACTCACTTGCAGCTCTTTCTATGCTTCAAATTTGCTGAGAGCCTCTTTTAAAACAAGAGTTAAAAAAATTCCTTTATCTGTTCCAGAGCAGGATATCATAAAAGTAATGTAGATGACGGAAAAATGCTAACTGTTATAACCCTACACCCTAATTAATATAAAAATTGTTCACAAATGATGCTGGAGGTGAACCTGCTTCCGACTGGTGATTTACTTCAGCCTCATCGTATTACAATTCTATGATTCAGACACATGATATAGAAGACCTTGACTGCAAAATGATCAACAGTAACATCTAAACAAAACTAGAAGAAACATACACTGCAATGACTTACTTTGGTGTGGTAATGAGCCCGGCTCTTTGGAATGTTGCAGTAAGTGTACTATTCATTGGAACAGTAGAAGCTTCTGCAAATGCGGAACTTACAAGTTGCAGCAAGACTGCCTGCAAGGACCTCCTTCAAACAATAATTCAATCAGCAGAAACCATCAACATATCATTAACTGTCTTGATACATTGATCAATTTCTTCAATTCCGATACAAAAAACAATACTCAAATAAGAAGTGTTGAATAGAATATAAATTCTTATTTTGCAGTTATAAAGAATATTACCGTATATCTTATATCCCGGAAATCTTACAATGCTCGAAATCCGTATTAACGTAGCTCGAAAATGTAACAGTCCTTACCTCCCACTGCTTCATAGCATAATTTTCGAGATCCACTAAGGAAGGTACTCTTGCTGCAAAGCTTGCAGGTAACGATTCTCTTGGTACACCTCCCCTGATAAAAAAATGACCCTTTAAGCAGAGGCCTTAACTACTACCATACATCTTCCTCAGCAAAGCAAGTCAGTACACGACTACAAAAACATTTCTCAATTGCTCCACTTGATCGCAATCCCGATACAAGTCATCTGGCATTTCACCCAAGGTATGCTTCATTGAAATTTTCCAATCCGGCGGGGTGCGATGTGAAAAAAAACTCACCCAGTTTTCAAAACGTCTTGCAGTTGCTTTTGGAGCCTTGGATTTAATTTGTAGGAGACTTCTTTTCTCCTACACCCAGTATTCATCATGTTAGAAAAAGAAACCATATCTTTGCAGTTGCTACTAGGAGCATACTTCCAGTTAATGTATTCGATGGAGCTGATAAATTAAGCGTATGAGCTCACTTGAGGATTCGTTCTGTTGACATCTCGAGAGCATAACAAACCTCTCAGTCGCCTCGATAAGAACTCGCAGCTGCTCAAGTTTGTCAATGGCCACTTTATGCTTGTTCAGAGCATCGGGAAGTGCCCAATCTTGAATCGATTTACTTGAAACGGCAGCCTCGACAAACAGGAGTCGTAACACATACTGCTTCGCCAATGGTGGGAGAGACCTAGTGACAAGCATCAGGATGGATCAAAGTTTGGACATACAAAAATTGAAGCTCGAAATAAGCCCGGGCACCAAATGATCAACGCCAGGACATCCAAATCTTCAGCCGAGGATTGATTGCACAGCGGGGAATATCAAGCTGGCATTTCAAAGATCAACTACATGTCAGAGGTGACTGTTCATCGAACTTCATGCAATTCTTCATGAGATACTGGCTTCTATGGAAAATAAAATCAAGGTCTCATTTTATAGCGAATATCATAAAATCGCTGGAATCGATTTCAGAGTCGATAATCTGACTGTCAGGCAGTCCTGAATGCCTTCCATTAAATCTATCGCGTTGCAAGAAATGTTGAAAGGTAGTGCACAGCGATAATTCGAGAACTTTCCGAGGAAAAAAAAAACATTGGACTGTTACATTACAATGTAGATTCTCCAACTGTATGAAGGCGTTATTCACCGAAAGTACAAAGTCTTAACAATTCTGAATTGTGGTTCTAGGGTTCAGGGTTTTATATTTTGAGTTAAAAGCTATTAAACTTGAAATTTAGACCAGACCCTGAATACTGGTACTAGAGGACTGAAAACAGAAGGTGCAGCTGTAGACAAGACTGAAAGATGTCCAACCTTACGACAGCCTGACAGGTCCAAGGGCTGCCGTAGAGTTCGTCCAGTTTGGCCGCAGGCAACGCTGCGACCATTTCCATGAAATTCCTCGAGACAACCCTGACATTGGGCATTCTTGCCAATTGCGATTGCAGTTGCTACTAATATCGACCCTACTACTCTACACCTGCTTTCCCTCCGCCGTCCGGCTCACATCCGCACCGCAATCCAAAGCCCAACATGTTCTACCTCTTCACGAATAACAGATGCATCTGCTGCTACACCTCTACAGGATTCCCAATTGAATCCGACAGGAATCCACGACCAATTGGCCTTGACCATTTCCAATTCTCGAATCTATAGGACCGATCTGCTCTCATCGATGAGAGATGTGGGATTCGTGGAACTAGCCACATTTCCTTCACGAGTACATGACTTGCTTGAACTGTAAAACCCCTGACACAAAGGTTTCGTGGTAAGTAGAATGCTGTACAGCAGACAGAATAGGACAAGAGTAACCGAGTTATACAGCCAACAGATGAATGAACCCCTTCAAGAATTCCACGTATGACACCAAACAGGTAAGATGAGGCTGGCCCCACTAGCATCTGAAAGCGGAACATCTATTTAGTTCAAAATGTCCATATATCACAAGATCATCTCAAAATCCATCACTTAATTGATTACACTTTGACCAAATTAGAAGATAAATAATACTAGAGTAGGAATTTCCCATATCGCTTGATACAACAGAGTTTACACAGAACTGTGTGAATAAATGAACGTGTTGAAAAGGAAGATATAAAAAAAAAAAATGTGAGACAACGTATTCTATACTATTTTGACTCCAAGGATGCAACCATATGAGATAGCTTTTGGGATCACTATTAGTGTTTTAAGTTTGAACTTAATATAGGATTTTAGGATAGACGTGGCGCTGTGGATGACTATAGGCAAAAGATGATCCATTCCACAACGCATTCCTTACTACCTTCATCTTAAATTCTAAGACCTTCGATGCATGTCCAACACATGAAGAAAAAATATACTTATTATACTTGTCAATCTTTGGCATATATTGTCAACAAATGCCAAAGATAAGAAAAAATCATCTGACTTTGATGATAAACCCTTTGATAGACGTCCACTATGTCTTGTATAATTTATGATTGTACATATAAAGTGAAGTTTGAATATAAAATGTATGGAGTTTTAGAATATGTTTAGAGCATTATGATTGAGTTAAAATATGCAGATAAGATTTAGATGTGATGGATGAGACAACTAATGCTGTTCTTTAAAATGCTTCAGAGCAGATTTTTTGTACTCTTCTTGATTTTGTGAATTAGATTAGTTGTAAATTGGTTTGATTTCGGAAAAACATATATCCAGTAATAAAATTATATCAACAAGATGAAGTCAATAGGGGTGTACATCATTCAAGTGATCTGCAAGTTGTTCTGTGATATTTTCCATTATGGTTTTTGTCCTAACTAAACCTGATAAAAAAAAATTACAGGATGATCATGTATATTTATACAATTAAAGCTTGACGTATCATAAACGAAGAGATTGAAAGTAAGTAGATATTAAATCTACTCTCAAATTAGTTTTGAAAAGCCTTATAGAATCGCCAACTTGGATTTGTTTGAATTCAAGTTTCACCAATGTATGTCAAATAAAACATCTCAAGTGAAACATAGGCATACTCATGAATGCAAAACTATAAAACAATGTTCTACATTATCTATCTATTCATATATTAATCTATCAAGGGGATTGATAATATATCATCTAGGTTTGACTTTTCTAATTTGATTGATAATCACATTAATTTATTTTTTCAAAATACATCATGAAGCACAAATAACAATTATGCTATTTTATATTTCGGCTTGTGTCATTATATTTCAATTCCTTAACATTACAAGTAATATCAAATGTACAGCCATAAAATTAACGCAAACCATTTAAAAAATAAAAATGTAACGTATTCAAGTAAAACATTTCAGAATAAAAGAAAGTAAGTTATATTGCAAAAACTATTAGTGGTGAAAAAATTTACAGAAATTTCCAATTAATACTCAATTTTTAATATTCTAAACTAACTAGTAATCAATTCACTTTCAAAAAATATCTACTTAATTATTTTAAGAAAATCCTGAGTAAATTTTAAGAAATTTACTAATTATTACGAATAGTTATTTTTGCAGATGCAAAATGATGAATGTAATGAAAAATTTATGCCTATAATAATTTAAATTTCAAATATACATAAAAAATCAAATCAAATTTCAATTATATCTCTAAATTTTAGATTTTTCTTTTGAAATTGATAAGATCAATATACATAATAGAAATTAATATGTTGCTATAACGAGTTTACATAAATTTACATGAAGATATCATTATCTAATTTTTTCCATCTTATTGGATTACTATCAGTTATAAAGCAGTAGCTTTATATTTATGGCTCAAACATAAAAGATGAAATTTTTACTTGCACCAATCATCTATTTCAACAATGAAAGAAAAATTCTATGTTGGTTGATCGAAACATATACATATTCATTTTTCAGTTGTGAGAGACACGATTTAGGAGCGGAAGTAATATGTGATGTTTGATCTAGATGTTTCTCAAAGATCAATTGTTTTAAGATCTTATTTAATGTGATGTTGTTGGATTAAGTCACATACTGAACATTTATCAACTCTCTTACAGTTACGCGGGTATTTGCATCTTCCAATAGTTAGAATTTTGTTGTGAATGTTGGAGAAAGTGTGTGCACAATGAAATGATGTCTGACGTGAAATGTAATGGAGGTTTTTCAAGACTGGAAATGATGAGTTTAAGGGTTTCACATTGAGGTGTTGATAATAAGAAGTTATATAATTATGCAAATATCTTCTTTTGAAACAACAAGTTTCCGTGGTGTAGTTGGTTATCACGTCAGTCTAACACACTGAAGGTCTCCAGTTCGAACCTGGACGGAAACAGTTTTGCCAACCCGGGATTGACCTGTTCTGCCCGACATTGTTGTTTTGAGTACAAGCTCCCGTCGTCTTCCGTAACGCCTACATAAACGTAGGGCGACAGAATAGTGCATCTGGATTATGTAAATATTCGAATTCTCGTAATTGTCCTGAAAACCTGGCCGGGAGGTCGTGTCTCACCCACCCGAAGAAGGTATGCATATGCAAAGGAAATACTGTATGCAACATTATTTGTAACAAAATTGTTCCTGTCTCTTACGGGTCTAAACATATGTCTCTTTCACACTACTCGGTACTTACATGCTCGAACGTGGCATTCAACGACATGGCAACAAATTGTCGACTAGGATAAATAATCACAACAGCTCCTTACTCGTCCTGAGACGTTGACGTGTAAGAATGTTCTGGAAGTGAGGGTGTAGTACCTTCGCTCTCTTCATGCCATACGATCATTCTCTGGAACAATGACATATGCAAATAATCATGCGTATCAATCTTCTGACATCCAAAAGTACATACATCAGTAAGATGTGATGATGATCCAATTTGACTGCAGAAGCCGAGAAGTTTCGTTGGAGTTTCAGACTCCTGTCGCAGGCTTCCGTTCGCGTAAATTATTTCCCATTACATGCAGCAAACTTGCATGAGCTTCCAAATCTTCCATATCCATTCCCTTCTTTCGATTCTCAGATAACTGTTTTTCCCGGCAGTGATATAAACGTCACCAAAGCGTTTGAACCTATTTGCGAATCTCATGTACAACTTGTAACCATGTCTTTTTCAGTAAATCTCGGTAGCTGCATGCTGAGTACATTTTCATGCATTCAAGTGGTGGATCATTGAATAGTTCTCCCAGGCAACAGATCAGACGGGTGATAAAGCCGGCGGGCGACCCCAAGACTGAGTATGAGGAGGTTAAAGTAAAAAGAATGACTTAAGAAAATATTAGATGCATGATGTAATAATTAAAGTCATCATTATCATCATCATAGCATTAATCATTTCACAGAATAGAATAGAATTATATTTTTTTTTAATGATCTGTAAATCAAGGCACTACGAGTGTAAATCGATTGGTGGCAACGCAGTCAGGTGAAAACTGAAAGACTTTGTTGAGTTGTCTGCAACTCTTTGGTACTTTCGGACTAAATCGAAAGCGAGAGCTACTCGAACGAGGTCTGAAGACTTTAGCGCCGGGCGCCCGAGCTCGGTGACGGGGTGAGGATTACGGCTTACGTGGAGGGTCTGTCCCTAGTGACTCTCCACGGCGGCAAATCCTACCTGGCCGGACCTCTAAGACTACAGTACTTACTAATCGTAGATAGCAGTGCCTACACTGGTCTGCAAAGCGAGGCTAAAACTGCCCTTATCTGGTCCTCATTAGGGTTGGGGACGGTGCCCGTGCTACAAGACTGACAGATCCAGCAGCGTGTCCCCGATTTTGACTCTGCGATCCTCAATTCCGGAAGTCTAGTTGCGGAGAGGCGCAAGGCTACGAGGACGGGGAAGTACTTAGTCAATACCTGGCGAATTTAGAAAGATTGCGAGATGGAATCGGCATCGGGTTCGATTAGTGGAGGTTCGATGTGGTACGGCCCCAGTTATTGGTCGGAAGTCGGCTCGAGAGCACGAAGGCAGCGACGTAGGTGGGGCAGCGCCATGGGGCCCGAGTGAGTGACGAGAAGGTGGTAATGGTAGTCGTCAGTCTGTGGAAAGGTGGAGCTCCGAGATTGTCGTCTTTGCATCCTGTGAGGACGATGGAACCTCCGTCGCACGAGACCATCCGGAAACAAGATTATGTTTTCATCGTCAACCCGAACGGTGCCAACGGAAGAACGGGGGATTCATGGAAGAAGCTGCTTCCGAAATTGACAGCTCGCCTGGGCAACAATTGGAACATTTCGGAAAAACTCACCGCAGGTCCTCAACACGCCACTCAGCTTGCGCGGGAGGCCATCAGGGACGGAGCGGCGGCCGTCATTGCAGTCGGTGGGGATGGGACGCTTCATGAAGTGGTCAATGGCTTTTTCGAGAATGGGAAGCCGATCGAATCCAAACTCGCGGATTCATTTCCTGCGCAGAAAACAGCTCTCGGGCTTATACCCATGGGCACGGGCTCCGACTTCGCTCGAGTTTTCGGCTGGAATAGTGACCCCACTAGAGCCATAGATCGGCTTTGTAAGGGTGAGAAGAAGAAGGTAGACGTGGGCCAGGTGATCTACGGAAAAGAGCGTAAAAAGCGGTTTTTCATCAACGTCGCCGACTTACATTTGAGCGCGAAAGCAGGATTTTACGCTGGAATGCACAAGCGGATTGGCAACTTAAGCTATGTGGTCGGTGCGTTACAGGGATTCCAGGGTCATCGTAATCGAGACCTGAAAATTAGGGTTGATGGTGGCAAGTGGGAAACTTGGTCTGAGGTCACAGCCATCTGTGTTGGAAATTCCAAGTATTTTGGTGGTGGAATGAAGATTACACCTACTGCAGATCCTTCTAGTGGTGATCTGGAGGTTGTGATTATCAAGGGATATAAGTGGTACGACTTCCTGTTGAAATTGCACACTCTGTATCTAGGTTCTCATATAAGGCAAAAGAATGTTACCTCGATGAAGGTGAGGCGCTTAGATGTTGAAGAGGTCGATGATTCCACGAAGGAGAAATATCCCGGAACATTTGTTCAGGCTGATGGCGAGCATCTAGGTTTTCTCGATGCGTCTTTTTCCGTCATACCCGCTGCAATAGATTTCATTCGGTAGATCTCTATCAACCGAAGCTGATATGTAAATAATGCTGTAGATAACACCTTAGTCATGTGAATCAACCTCACGCAGATTAAGTTTTCAACGTGTTGGAGATCATTAGGACCCCGCGTTTCAGAGTTCCCTTCGTAGTTGAGTTGAAGAAGGGTTTCTTACGTGCGGAATTATTGACACTTTACTTTTTTCTGAAAAAAGGATTTCGTGAAATCTCTTTCAATGACGAATCTAACAGAAAGTTTCTGTATACACTCAGTAGGATTGGCTTCCATCCATGCAACTATCTCGTTCTTTTTCCACTCACAAAAGCAAATGATAAGGTATGGTACGTCCTTACAGGCTATTGAGATGAGTGTCGATCTGATTTCTGTCGTCTACACCTTAACTTGAGTCGAGGGGCTCTACCTCAAGTGCTTAGGAACCTCTTGTAACATTTCGTGTACTTCCGGGCAGAGGAGGCAAGACTAACGAAGTACATGATGTATGTCGAATGGAAGTCCCGACAGCTGCCTGCTTTACCTGGAATCCTGCGTCGATTGCGGAGTATTATACCTTGAACTGGATTGGAAGTTTAGGCACTAAACAGATCTGTACAGAATGAAAGAAAAGTGGTCGCAAAATCTGGACATCACATCCCAAGGTTCTCGGAGTTAAGGACCCGGTTGTAGGATATTTACCCGTCTCCTAGGCCTGAAACCACAGGAGATAAATTGATGCCATGCTTCCAATTTCTGCCAAAAGATCTGCAAGCGACTTCTACAACGGCGGATCCATCAACAGAGGAAGACACATTAATGCGATTGTTATATGTTGGAAACATACATGTAGTTCATCATGGCAACAACTTCTCGTGGCATACAGATTTCGCGTATTAATTATTCCACCAAAATACGTAAGTTTAGTGTTTCACGTGTGGCTTGTCTTTTTCAAACTTCATGTGTCCCAGGTTTGCGTTGCTGCATTCATTTCTTCCTCAAAGACACGAGCACAATATACAAGAGCATCTATAAGGGATCTGAAACTTTTAACCCTTATGATCATTCGACCTATTTTCGTTATTCCTTATGTCATGTTCCCGATGTGAACATGTTAGTCCCCTTTCCAGTTACACGAGTACCACAAGGGTAATCTAGAGGCTGACTGATTTGGAACTTAAAGTTTTGTGTGACAGGTTTGCGGGGATCGTACTTAAGAAACCAGCATTTTTTTTGTACATGTCTACGACATATTTTTTTTAAATTCTGGTGATTGTGTGTATTCGGTGTATGTGGTAGGTGGGAGGTGAATATTCAAATCAATTTATTCAAATGAATTACAATTGAAGTTCGCCATCAAAAGATCTTTTGGTTTATCACAAACTACATCCATCATTTTGTTTTTAGCATTCAATCTTCCATAGGTTTGTTCAACTGAAGTCCTAGAGGTATTACTAAGAAATGAGATGCACAATTCCAACAGATTGTTTGCGCTTCAAAGCGGTGGGGATTGAGGAAATACAAAAAGGTCAATTCTCACATGTGATGATGAGTCCAAGTCTGGAGTACCTTGTTAGAACTGCAATTTAAAATACATGCAATTGAGCATCTTTCGGTGTTTCATTATTACTTTTCATTATCTTGGGATGTAAGGTTTGGACGTTCTAAATCTTATATCCTAGGATTTCTAGGACATGAGCTTCACAACATTTGAATCTGAAGGAAATATATCTGAAACTTGTAGTGGTATAGTTGCAGAACGAAAGATCACGACAACAGTATTGCTTCGAGCGACTGCACTTTCTACGCTATGGTTGTAATTTCTCCTCGGGATCTTTTGTTAAGCTCATATCGTAAAAACTTTATAAAGAGGCTGTTGCACAGATCTGAAGTTCGAAGGATGAAGACATTCGGAAAGTCCAGGTGTCGAGGAAATGATGAGAAAAGCAACGTTGATTTCGAGTGGTTGTTCCCGCGGGGCTTTGGGCTTCGATCTTTTTTTTGGTTCGAAGACTTATGAATATTGATCATCCGTGAACAAAAGCTGCACAAATCAGCAATGGAATATAGTTTCAATATGAAACTCAAACAACGGACGAAGTGAACGATGAACAAGACACCTTACATTGTTGCCTTGATGTGACTGAGGATGATGAAATGCGGTAGCCGGTCGGAAAAATTCATAGTTGCAAACTGAACCCGAGACTTAAAGAGTAACGTGTTCATGCTCGCAAATCCAGTGCTTCATATTCTTCAGTATTCTCAACGTGACACCGAGCTTATCAAGACAATCTCATTTCGTCTTGATTCGCAAGGCCAGCCGCTAGGTTCTCGCGTGGCAGGAGTTGACTGCGTATTTGGCTGTAGCATGTGCACGGCGGCGCCTAGCTACCAAACTGAGGTGCTTGGGAGCACAAAAGACTGATCCCAGTGTAATACGGTGTAGATACAAATCGTGACACTGGGAGTACTCGTGCTCATAATTTGGTTGGTTTCTAACGAGCACGATACACGAAACCCTACAATACCGTTTGTTTCAACTCCGTCTGCAAATATCTGATTGGCTTGTTGGCTTGATTCTAGGATCAGTGGTGTTCGAAGTCTTGAGATAGGCTATAATACTTCCTCAGAAGTCCCAATAATTTTCAGACCTTGCTATGCGTGATCCAATTCAATTTGGTCAATCTGCGAGCGAAGAGTTGCTCTGTTTTACAATTCCAATTACAAATGTGATTTGGGAATAGGAGGGAGATCGACGTGAGTGTGTGCAGCTGAAAGGACTCCTGTGCTTTATCAAAATTGAAGTAATTTCGAAGCTGGAACTATGCATGTAGTTCTGCAGGCTGGATCTCAGTCGCACGCGCTGCGCTTGCAGTTGTACGCGTCCTCGCCTCATTTGCAGGTACATTTATCTAATTGGAACGTACAACTACTTCATCAACTTGGTGGATTTCAGTAGTTTTTGAGTTTTCTGCTGAAATAGTGATTGCACACGATGGACTATATACTTAGCACTGCTTTTCGAAAGTAGGTAAGCTTTGAAAGAGTGGCCAGGTTTAGATTCATCACAAATTTGCGAGATGATCTGTATGGCTAGAGACTTGTGAATTTTAGAAGTAATCTGAAGACTGCACAAGTGCCGCATCAACACGAGACGCTGCTGATGTAATAGCAAGAGGGGATTTTCGTTTCCAAAAATCGAAAATCGTTTTTTCGTCGAAGTCTCTCAACAACATGCTCGGAATCACTTCATTCGTTTCAGAACTGCCATCTTAAGTGCAGTCAGATGTCTTCCCAGCAGCAGATCAGGAATATAGCTCTGTAACAGATGTTTTTCTCAATGTTTATTCAGGCTCTTCCTCAAGAGAGAGGGTTCTGCACAGCTGCAGAGGAGCTCGGTACGCTTGAATCTGGTCATGATGGGCCTTGTCTTGTCTTGCTGAATGATTGCAAAGTCTCTGCTGAAGACTTCAATCATCACATACTGTCAACTTTCTTGCGAGGGTACAGAGGTTCAAGTCAAACATTTCGTTTTATTTTGTCAAGTTCTCATGACTGGGCGCCATTCCAGATTCAGCCCGCTGAAGTTCAGGTTGCTCCTCGCAAGTTTTGTTTATTCTAGGTTTGACATTCTTGACGTTGACACCAGATTTATTGTTTCACTGTACTATGTACCTTTAGTTTTCAATTATAGTGGATCTCCTAAGTGTCTCTGTTACTAAAGCTTAAGTTTCGTATGGTTGAAAAACAGGTATGTTGTTCGAGTGTACTGGTTTGAACATGTCACCTCTTCACGTACGGAGCTTCTATCACATTTAAACATGCTGATTCAACAGCATTCGGATAGTTCCTGTCATTCAACTCAGGATCGTGATCTTTCTGGTAGGTGGGTGCATCTCTTTTCTCTTACTTCAGCCCAATGTGTTCTGCAAAAGCCTGTGTGCTCCGCATTCACCACCATATCATCACATACCTTCAAACGTTGCAAGATAGAAATCAGAGATGAAATTTAACAATTCGTATTTTATTTCTGAACCTGTGCTCTTGTTGCATTGTGTACAAATATGAAAGTTTTGGTGCAGAGGGCGAAGAATATGTTATGAAGGATGCCTTGTTGGCTGAAAATAGTTTTGAAGTTACACCCTTGCATCACCTGTTAACGGACTCTTCTTCTCATGGTGACTGTTCACTTCATGACAAGTCAAAGGAGGGTCGTTTGGAAAAGCCTAGGGGGAAATTAAAAGTGAGATTGCAAACATACCCTCGAAGTTTTGCGGAATTTCTGGCGGAGGAGCTAACAGGCATTGACTGTCAGTTACATAATTTTTCTCAAAGTTTGTACGCGCTAGAAGTGGATGGAAAGTACCGATATGGGCTATCATCCGGAGCCGATATGTATCTTGCACCTTGCGACAGAGAAGATCTGGCGAAAGACTACATAGCGAGAGCTGCCTTGAAGCTTGAAGAAGTTACCCAAGTTTGTGGGTTTAAGTTGAACAAGGACATGATTGGTAAGTCTTGTCGAATTGCTTTTCCTCCTTAGGAGCTTATTTTTTGGGTTATATTTATCACCTCCTGAATTTTGGTGAGGAGACCTCTTACAGTTTTTGTATCAGTTGGGCGACTTAGTATCACGTCATCATGTTCTGTTTATGAATCACAGCCTCATATTTGTCTCGGTTTGTTGTGGCAGCTATGGATCTTGGTGCGTCACCTGGGGCGTGGACCCAGTTTTTGAGCAAACATATACAAAGAGTTGTTGCTGTCGACCCTGCTGAGCTAAATGGACAAGTTTTGCAACAGAATGTTACTCATATTCGCAAGCTGGTGGGTTTAACACACATACAAAGCTAAGCGAGCTAAAGCTTTCACTTGGGAACATTGCGTCAACTTCTATTATCACTGAAGGTCATATTACAAAGTAGCAGTTTACGTTTTTTCTTACCGTAAGGTTGTTTCATGTTGTCAGGCACAAGATGCAACTGAAGAACTCGTTGCATGGAGCGAAGGCAAGGGATATGATCTGCTGGTCTGTGATGTCAACCGCCATCCAGTAGAAGCTGCAAAACTTGTCTCACCATTACTGCCCTATCTCAAAGAGGGCGGTCTCCTTGTGCTCACACTCAAGTTTCATGGTCGGGGGAGGTCTGTTATAACAACCAAGTCTTTCACTTACGTGATTGTCGCATACTTGTGCTTTGCCTCCTTCATCCTACGTATATGTTTAGCATTACTCGAAAGTGTTTGGGACCTCAAGTGATAGCTGGTATTAGTTCCTTCTGATTCCCCAGAGTACATCAACAGGTTCTCCAAGGTCGACCAACTAATGGAATAATAACTTTGAATGCAGGGACAAGGAGCAAAAGGTGGATGAAATCAAAGGCATTTTTCGAAAGGTTTTAATTAAAACAGACTGCATTTGGCTTCTCGCAAATAGCATATACGAACGAACGTTTGTTGGAATTAAAGGAAACCAGTAGTCGAGATCCCTATAGTGACAATTCATATTGAGCAGGATACAGAGAATATTTTTTCCAAGCTTCATATCGATGTCCTGGTGGTTAACTGTTCACTGAGACGGTCATTTGTTCGACATTTGCTACGTAATCTTTATAGCTATTGTCGTGGACATCCGGAGGATTGGTGTTTTTCACTATCGGGCTTTCGGTGTCAAACTAGCTGTACTGTATCTGAAAAATTTGTTCATGCGCTCAGACTGCAAGTCGAGGTATTACACACGCTGCTTAGGGATGCCAAACATCGCTGAAGGGTGGGACAAGCTCTGCATGTAAGACTCTAGCTAGCGCAGAGTTTAAATCATCACCACGTAGTCAAGTCTTATCAAAACTTACATCTCGTGAAACAAAATGGAGTAAAAATGTATGAGGAACACTACGCTCTTTCTGTTGAGTAAATGTTGATCTTCATGAGTATCTGAACGATCGTTAGGGTTGTAAACTTCAAAGTGACTATGCCCCAAAGCTTGCCGAGCATGAACTTTTTACAGATGGGTGCCGGCCTTTTTACTACTCCACACTATCACAACACGAAGAATCAGATTGAGAACACACTCACCTAATGTTGGTCGCTGCATATGTTCAGGCAACCTTCTTAATTTAACATGATTCTGGACTTGGGTCTTATTAAGCAGGCCTGTATGCATGCATGCAAGAGCAAATGGCGAATACAGATGTGTGGATATCATAGTAGTGTGCATTCGCACGAAAACACTTCAAATACTGAAGCTGGGTTCAAAGGATCTGGTTATCAATAAACGTGAAAGTCACTCTAGATTGCTGCGTGGAACGCTATAGATCCTCGGATTGAAAAGAGGAAATGGGTAAGACGTATCGGACTTTGCCTTCGCTGTCAATGCCATGACAATCAATTCTTCTCAGGCTAGATAGTACTCCTGACCTCAGGCTTCAAGTTCCCAGGTCTTCTCTAACCTTCTAACAATATTCAGGTCCATACAATACTCACGACGTAGAAGATCATATGCGCAGCTCATAAAAGCCAGTACGCGCTTCAGGCGAATCCTCTGTTAGGTGTGACACCAAACATCTGGGAAACCATGAAATAAATTAAATTCTGACGACAATGTGCTTCTCATCTGAGCTCATTGTAAGAATAGGTTCACCTTCTTTCCTCCCATACCTCACAAGGTAGTGGCAAACTTCGATGTACACTCAACGAGTTTGATGTTAACTATTAGAATGTCTCAAAATACTAGCAACTATCCTTGAGAGAATACCTTTGCGATCTATGCACCGAAAGCATGATTACCGCCTCACTTTTTCCGCAAATAAGGAGTTGCAGAAGCTAAGATAAGTCTCATCATCATTATGACATACATCATGTATAGATCAAGGAAGAAATCCATACTCTCTTAACCGAAGGTTAAAATCTGAATCCATAGGTATGTATAAATTTGCAGCTAGAGTAACTAGTTACTTTCAGTAATACATTAATAACTTCACCAAACTATATACCTTGAGACAATTTCATACATAATACCATAGAACCATATATTTTATGACAATTGTCTCTTCACTCACTACTTCATGAGAGAGACGAAAAGATCAAGGATGCTCGGGGTCTCTAAGTGAAAGTCTATCCCTTGATAATTGGTGTTACTATTGGAAAATTACCAGCTGGTTGCAAACGAAAACTGTTTTTGATCTAAGCTAGTTGATCTACAAACCATTGTAGATTTGTGAGTGGTGAACTATTCTAGTTGCAACAGGGTTTTTCATGCCTTGATGATTATTTGAGAGTAGAGATTAACTATCAACTATCTCGTTAGGGAAGAGATACATAAAAATAGATTAATCATATGGATAGGAAGTATTTACTTGATGGGACCCCATCGGAACGTAAACTGCTTGATGGTACCCATCAAGTTTTGTTTTACCGCTAGGTTACCACCGAAGCAACGCGTCACACCTATTCTAATATAAACAGAAGGTGTAGTGGCTCTGTCGCAACGCAGTGGAGCTCGCGATTCTTGATATTAGACACTTTGTCCTAACGCATTGGAGCTCTGACTGTGAATTTGTGCTGCAATCGTTGTTGAATTTGCTGGAATCGATTGATTAGTGCGTGCAAGAACTCGAAATTTGCACCAGTTTTGTATTATGCTGCTCTTCTTTGCGAGCTTCAGCAAGCCAGTAGTCCGTTTATCACACGCGGGTATTCATAACCTCTGGGCGCTGGAGTAACTCTCCACCATTTGTAAAGTCCGATTCACTAGCAAAGTACTGTAATGCTTGGCTGCTGCCAGAACTTGGATGTTGTCCACTAACTCGGATGTGAAAAAAAAAAATCCTTCGAAGTAGAAACAAAACTCGTAAAGCAATATCTTTAAAACATCATGCTATGGTATTTGAAAGACAGAATCTTAAAATATTCACAATCTAACTGATTTCATTGAGATAAAAACAACGATAATTTTTATTACAGCAATTCTTACAGCATCGTTTCAGGCTGATCAAAAGTTTGCTCCTCTCCCAATTCATTTCTTTCCTCTTCACTGCGTTTACATAACCATTCTCATCTGAGAATGTTTATGTTACAACTCCAGAACTCATAGTTAGAACTCACGTTATTAAGGTCAAACATACTAAATTGGATGGCAAGATCTATTTGTCCAACATATGCAAGGGTAAAAACTGTTGTAAGAATAGTAGTTTATAACGGAGCATCTTACTCTTCAATCTCTAGTCTACCCGATTCATACTCATGGAAGTCATTTGCACGGTTAGAAACGACACAACACTTCCCACTCCTCCCAATAACCAACCATAACGTGACTTCCCTTCATATGTGAAGGGAAGCATGAGTAGCGCGCTCACATGGTATAGTTTAGGTAGTTTAGGCGTTGCGACATATGATTGCGTACATTAAGTTGGCCGGGATGATACATGATCATAAATACATGAAAATAAATCATACCGTATAATATATTGTGTTCCCTTTCATTTCAGAAAAGTGCTGAAAGATTATTTTTGGCACGAGAAAAAATTTCTTGATGGAACCGTCCACGACGCAAAACACTTGGGGATACCTCATACCATTCATTTTACAAGATAAGATTATCACGGCCTGTTGCAGCCCATGGGAGTTCTTGTAACTGCCTTGCTCGCTGTCTATCATCCATGCTTTTCAAGTCGATTCCCGAATTCAATGGTAAATTTAATATGATGGGTCGGGAAAATTACAATCAACTCTAGTGCTTGTGCAGGAACGATGCAACTCGAGAGACTAGAATATTTGATATTTGTAAACATCATGCAACATTGCCGGAGGGTACTAGGGAGTTACTATAGTAAACCAAAATTATCAGCTTGTCACATATAAATTCTCCAAAGTTACTCTATTTAATGGCATTTTGCTAACATTTTGGACTAAAACTATCACTATGTTCACATTATGAACGGAATTTTTTTGAAATCACACATACTTTACAAGAACTCGTATGTGAATATGGTTTATGGTGGGATGAAGTTTCGTCGTAGGTCCCATCTGGAGGGGTATCATCAAGTAATTTTCTCTCACGAAACTAAAATTAATCTCAGTGCGGTTCTCCCCAAAACCCACAAGTGTTTGGGTTCGGAGTGGTACCATCTAGTACTGCAATTTTCTCTAGACACGAGCATAAAATGAGTCTAAGTGAGGTTCTCCCCAAAAGGGGCAAAACAAGTTTCAGACTCCGACCTGCCGGATTCGAACCAGCGACCTAGAGATGTCTGTGGGCACACTACAGTCTCCCGCTCTACCAACTGAGCTAAGGTCGGATGATGCACCAGATGGAAATAGTTTCATATTGATAATATTTGAAATTGTAAGACCATCTGAATCAAATATAATCTCTGCATTTGAGGCCTACTTGTATGCAGGTAAAAGATGAGTTAGAATAGAATCAGATAGTGCACATTCTTTTCAATGTAGAAATAGTAGTGTCTCTGTTCTGCTCATGCATCGAATGACTGCAGGAAAATCGAGTAAGGGGTATGCATGGGTTATCGCAAAAACCACCAGAACAAGAGCAGGCGGATTCCCTGCAAGATATTTTTTTCCAAGAACCATCCAACTGTGACAATTTAAATTTCATGTACATACACGTAAAAGTGAATGCGACTGACGGCATCGATCGGTTCACTTAAAGTACAATGCACCCTAATCCTATTGCAACCTGATGTTGATTAAAATCTTCTATTTTTTCTCAAGGGCTCGAAGGGAACTCCGATTTGTCGTGAGTAGATTCTCAGCAATTCTTCGTACCGTTCACAAATCTGTCAATCACAATTCTGTCAATATTCTATGCTTTCGACCAAATGTTCTGAGAGTTGAATTTTTTTCGTCTGTGTACTTGGACTAATAAAGACCAGGAACCATTCTCCAGAAGATTTAATTACTTGGTGGCCATAACTACTTCATTGAACTCAATCCTCCTGATGTTAACATCACTAACGAGTAATTCTGAAGTAAGATCTTTGTGCGCTAGTTGACTCTTCACATTCAAAAGTTCAAAGGCTAGCATGAAGAATATTTCAAGACAACAGGTACTGAGTGAGCCCATACTTTTGTTTCAATGACCATTTCAGCCTGAACTAACTCCAATAGGAGCTCAGTAAGTACGTGAGACTGGAGTGTTCGGATTTTGGGTTCAGAGGGAAGTTTGTGCTGTACCTTGGTAGCTGTTTCTAACTGATCCTTGAGGTTCAATACATCTTCAAAAATCTGGGGTCCAAATTCAGTTGCATTTGCAACCTTCAACCTCCGATTTTCTTCCTTCAGTGACTCCCACTCATTCTCTGTAATGAATTCGGTGTCAATATAATCTTCTGGTCTACAGAGCCTGACATCAGAGAATTTGGTTCTTGCTTCCTGAGCACTCCACATGTCGACTTTCTTCTGATAAATGTTCTCCGTTGGTTCTTCTGCGGATTCTTGAAGCCAAAGTTTTCCATGAAGTAGGTCGAGTTCGTCATCTTTCTTCTCAAGCTGCCTGTTCAATTCAGCAACATCTTCGTCTCGAACAGCAAGCTGCGTTTCTAATCTTTCGATGGTGTCTGCCTGAGTTTTTAACCTCTTATTTTGATCCGATAAGTTCGGACCTTCATCTGAGAAGGACAATCGTCTGCCTGGCCTTGGAGGCAATCCGGACTCTGTTCTCCTCGCTTTCGATTCCTGATCATGCACCTGTAAGAAACATGAAAAAATGCTAAGCCCTCCTCCTCTCAAAGCGAGTCAAAACTAATGACATCACTTGCTCGTACGTTCCTAACATCGATGGGATGTTTGGGCCGAGAGTCTGACCGCGTGACGGTGATGAGTACTAATACGTTCGATCTTGCAAGAGCTTGAAGTTCTGACCATGATATATCTCGCTAAGCACTGTTGATCAGTCAGTTAGGATTGTTCTCTCGGTTTAAATGGTTGGCCATTTCAGCTGGTGTTATCAGTCGGTTATCATTTTGCACCTCATAATTATTTTTTTGAGACTTTTCCGAATCGACAGTACTCAGTAGACATGCTTTTAAACTATGGCCAAAGAGAGTATGTATACGCGATTACGTCACTATCACAAATATGCAGTGAGGCATCACAACGAACACACCACTGACAATATCCATGACCATCACATGAAAGCCTAGAGATGTGAGTTGCAGTACCCTCTGCTTCAGTCCTGAGTACAAGTCTTCGGACTCTCTCAAAGCTTTTATGAGACCGGCATTAGCATCCGTCAAGTTTTGCAGCTTCGCTCTGAGACCTGCCGCACATGGCGATGCACTTCTCAGTATGACAGACCAGGAGCTCAACTGCGGAAGTCGACTTGGGTGCTGGACCAGTGGGACATGTCACGGGTAAGTTGAGGCCATCTTCTACCTGAAATTAGCCTCTTTTGTTCTGGGTCTGCGACATCTTGAGAACTTCCTCCAACCTTTCCAATCTGGCTCTGAAGTTCGTTCACAACTTTTCTCAGTTTCTTGTTCTTCTCCATCTGTTTGACGGTGTCTTCACAAGTCAACTTCAATGCCTCGTTTTCGCTGTTCAATTTTTCCACCACTTTCATGAGAGCGGTCACCAGATCTTCGAGCTCTCTCTCCCTACTGCCACTGCGTAAGAATCCTCTCTGACTGAGAACCTTCTCCCGTAGAAGTGAGAGAGCTGGAACGGAAAGCTGGCCTGTGTCAGAGGAGAAGATGTTCTCGAGAAGAGTATCGGCAACGGGAGCATTGAGCTCAATCTTTTGGCAGTCCAGAGCTCCGAACAAGATGTTGAACCTCTTTTCGACCTGACCGAGTTTCCACGTGGCCTGATCGACTTCAAACCGCAGTTCGAGAATCAACGAGTCTTTCGAGACTATGGTGTCTTCGAGGTCTTTCTTGGCCTTCTCCCAAGCATTTTCATCCGCAATGATCATGGCTTTGGAGCATCCGAGCTGTGTTCCGTCGGCTATAAGGTCAAGGCCTTGGGCTCTTTTCAGGTCCCTCTCCAACTTCGCTATGCGTCTGTTCTTTTGAACCATGACTTCATGCTTCAACAATGTATTCTCCATGTCCAGCATCTCAATGTTCTCCAGAAGTCCTTTCATTCGAACGCAGTCCGTCGGTTTCTTCTTACCAGACTCCATTTTCTTGCGCTTTTTCTCTTGAAGCTGCTCCACCGTTTCTTTGCTCTTTCTGAGTTCAAATCGCAACTGCTCGATTGTAGCTCCCGATACACTCATGTCGTTGTCTCTTTTCTTCAGCTCTAACTTTGCTGCCTTCAGTCTTCTCTGAAGTTGTTCGATTGTTTTGGTCAGTTTCTCATGTGCCTGTAATTTGTTCATCGTCTCACGTTGTACTAGGCCCAGAGATTTCTCGGCCAAGCTAAGTGGTGTCAAGATTCTGGTTTCATCCGTGACCGTGATGTCATGAGTGATTTCGAAAGCAGGATCATCGCTCTCTTTCTTGACTTCCCGCAGTTCCTTTTCAAGCTCGAGAATCTGCGCACTCAGTTTCTCTATACAATTTTGGAGAATCTGTGTCTGTTTTCGGGTCTCCTGACGGCCTTCAGTTGTCGTGATTTCAGCGGGTGGAGGTTTGAGAACCTTTGTTTTCTTTCTCAAAGCTGCAAGTTGTACAGCTAGTTTATGTATGAGGGCTTTTTGGGCTGCAACTTTATCTTGTAAAGTCCTGAACTGCAAGACATTCAAGGTTGGAAGCCAATACGGTCTCAGCCTCCATTTCTGTAAAAATTGGAGAAATTCATATTGTTCTGCTCTGGATGCATGATAGGTTTTGAGCCTCAGATTTAGGGCATATATTTAGGAGATCAAGTTCTACCAAAACGACCTCCTGGATCGAAATGTTTCTGAAGAATTTTATGCAATCAGAGAGCACCTGAAATTCAGTTTGTTGTCCCTGTTGTTGATACTTATGCGTCTCCTCCTTAAGTTTCTGGAGTTGTTGACCGACATTGGATACCTGGCCCAGTGAGCGTCGAGTTTCTGTGCATATACGTTCGTGTTCCGAAGCCAGATCCTGCTCTCTGGCTCTTTCCTCCTCTAACAATCTCTCTAGCTCGCGGACAGAATTTTCATAAGTTCTAAGTTGCTCGTCTTTCGCCTCTGCAACAAAACCAGGGTGCTTGAAAGGAACACATCAGCATACATCAACAACAAAAGTCCGAAAGCACTCTATGATTTAGTGGGATATCAAGCAGTGACGTTGTGTTCAAGCGCAGACCTTACTGAGTTCTCTCTTAAGATCCTCCACAAGTTCTTCAGATTTCTCCAACTGTGATTTGGTGTTCATATATTTAACTGTCTGCATAGTTCCTACAGTTATACACACAGCCACTCAAATCTTTTGGCATCGAGGCAAAATGGTCATGTAACTCAATCAAAGTGGCTACAAGAGCTGCTTTCTGAAAATTGAGTCATCGTTATTAGAGTATGATACATATTTTTTAAGTCACCGGATGAATTTCCTTGGAGCATCTCTATGTGATGTACAATCTTGAACTATTGTACCTCTCTTGAGATTTCTTATGATACGGACGTATCATAACAAATCTCAAGGAGCTGTTAAATAAACACTGGCTGCTTCGTTGAGGCTTTGAGATTATAGTCATGCAATTAAGAGTCACTGACGAACATCTTGTACCACAAGATAATCTTTTCAGAGCAGCAACAGGTGGTTCCATTTAAAGTTCGGAAACTTGAGCTTATTCTCATGAGCTCAACAAAAATATTTTATCCCTGTGGTATAAAAACCGAAGGAAAGTGAATAAACAACTAAAGAATCGAGAAGTGAATCAAATGCTCAGTCACACAGTTTACCTTCTCGTCTAACTGTGCGTGGAAGTACGATTTTGTAGTTCTTTTCTCATGGTCCAGAGAGTCCTCCAATTCCTGGCATCTGAATCAAATGAAGAGTCGCTCTAAGGTTCCATGAGCAGGAGCAAGAACCAAAATTTGGGCACGTACCAGAACAGCAAAGCAGTGTAGAAGGAGAGATTCAGAATCGTGCACCTAGACGACGCGTAGGTACCCGTGACTGCACACGGACCTGTTGTGAAACATGGCCAGGCTTCTTTGCAAGTCTTCCGTCTCTTGCTCATGCTTGATCGAAATTTCGTGCAAATACTGATCAAAGAGCCGGGCGATTTGCACAGCCAACGAGTTCCCGGACGACGGCTGCTGCCTGATAACCGTCTGCACTTCCAGATCGTCGCTTTGGTCATACGCATTAGGAAGGCACTGCAAAGAATCGTCTCTAAAACAATCTCGTGACGACCATATGTCTCACTACTGCATGACAAAAGACATTTACTGGAAACTGGAAACTGGCCGCTTGAAATCCGAGGATATGAAAATTTTGCACTTGAAACTTTATCTCGAGGGTTGAGGAGGGGAGGCAGATGAGGATTTTCCATATACCTGCAGAGCATCTGTAATTGCTTCAATACTGCGGTCTTCCTGGGCGAGGAGCAACTGATGGAGTAGCTCCAGATCATGCTGATCGCTTTCCTGTTGATCCAGAGCCTTCTTGTAGGAAGACCCAACCGCATCTTGAAGAACAGAGATCAGCTCGTCTTTCTCCTTCACTACCTGCTGCAATCGCCTCAAACTGGACTGGGCGACATGAGCAACCTGCAGCAATCACGGAGAAGAAATCAACCAAAATCAGCAACGAACTGAAATTCATCTAAGCTAAACACCTACGCCATAGTTTCGACATTTCCAATCCGCTACATTTGAGATCTTCGTGAGTATTCTGTGTCATATGTCGAAATTCTCGACGGATTCTGTTACACTTCATGCAGATCATGAGTTACATCACTCTTCGGAGAAAATGTCTGGAATTGATGACGACAGCAACGCTCGCACTCTAGAATCCGTCTTTTGCACAAAACGGATTCCATCTTTTGCATCAAATGGGTGGGTGTCAAAGAGGAGAAGAGGAGGACGACGACGACGACGAAAGCCTGCGAGATATGGTGACGAGATCGAGGTCTGACGTTCCACGGTGAAACGGTCGGGCATCAAAAGCGCGTCGAAAAGCTCGACCGCTCCTGACCATCGTGATTCATTCATTCTGTAAGCAAAATTGGCGATTAAAATGGGGCCAAGATTTCGACAGGGAGGAAGGAAGGAAGGAAGGAAGGGAGGAAGGGCATGCCTTCTCAACGGCCTCGAGAGCTTCTTCGTCCGCTTGCTGGAGGTTCAGAGCTTCCTCCACCATCAAATCGGCTTGCGCATCTGCCCTTCCTTCCTCTTCTAAGTGCTCGAAATCGTCCAGTATAGCTTCCAGATTTTCCATCGCAGCTTTTGACCCGTGCTCGTCGGATTTCGACCTCCCTTCTGCCGAGCAAATGATTCGATCACTCTGCTCTGCACTCGATGGTTCGAGACTTCATATTCTTCCGTCCGATATGCTGCGTCTCAGAGTGCCAACTCGAGAACTTCGAGCGATCGAAGTCTCGTCCAATTGTGGAAATCTGCAACTTGCTTTCACAGACGACAAATCCAACAGACAGCAAGAATTTTTCAAACACGTTGGGAATTACTGAATCGACGAATGCCTCGTGCGATCCATGAAACTGCATTTTCCGAAGGGAGGGAGTTCTTTGCATGCATGCTTGTGATAGAACTGTCTGTCAGACAGGAATTTGGGAACTGCAATCAGCGCTCACGAGCTTGTGACGTGAGACGCAGGGTGGGCACACATCGTCACGAGCTGCCATGAGTGCCAGCAACTAGTTCCGAGGCAGTCCGTGGATAGCAAAAACGATGTTGTCGATGCAATAACGGTTTGGGCGAGGCCACGGTGTGAGCATGGACTTTTGGCTTCACGGGAACGCAGAGCATGATCCGGATGCCTTCACTTCGCGCGAAGTTCCCATGTTGCCTGCGCATGGCGTTTATAGTCAACCTTCGCATGGCATTCATCGTTCCCATGAATCTGATCCGCGACCAACCGCCTCCGCCCGACCTCTAACTGACTTGCACGCACTCGTCCACCGCATTCGCCCTGCGGTCGAAGTTCGGCTGTACTGTACGCCGCCACCAGCACCGCACCTCTCGCCGTGAGAGGCATCCGATCTGCATCTGATCTGCGGATGGCCTCGAAGAAGCTCCGGAGTGTGCAGGAAGAGAGAACGAAGCACACGCATTGCATTCTCGCTCGTCAGCTGGGCCGACCAGTTCCGTTTGAGGTTGTTGGTTATGATCGAGCATTCTCTAGACATGTTGAGACATTTATTGATCAGGTACCGCTTCTGTGATTCCTAGAGATTCAGGAGAGGAATTGTTGTAGTGATTCTTGAAGCATATAATTTGCCTCCATTGATTGACATGACCTTCACTGTGACCGATGTAGTCTGTTAAGAAAAGCCTTTCGAGTGTGTGCAAGCTAAGAACCACGTGCAGGAGTCTGGAAGAAGACGTGTTCATGGGAATGCATGTAATTCCTGCATGTTTGCTTGGTTCTTAGTGAAACATGACAACGCTATTTCAAAAAACTTACAATGGTCGACCGCATTGTTCTTCTGCAATCTTACGCCTTCCGTGCTTGGACTTGATTATTATGGAGGCTCGACATAGATTTGCATCAGAGCAAATTGGCCAGTTCGCTCATGAATCCAATTCCCCAACTCTTCAGTTGAATAGAAGTTATATTAGTCCTGAACTTGCGTTCTGAGTACCAGGGCGTCTGAAGCACGCCAACCTTTTTCATTCCCAGATGTGGGTCTTCGTCAGAATGATTCAACCGCTCAGCGTCATGACCTTGTCAACTTCTGGTCGTCAAGGCCGGAAGAATTGATCCCAGTACAGCACCATACTGAGTCTGAATATTACAATCGGCTGCAATTGCGACTCTTATCAACTTGGCCTTGAACCTCAAGGGAGGAAGAATGTGAGTGACGTCGACTTTTCTCACATTGCACAGAATATGAGATGCAAGCTGAGGGACCATCCTAACGTAAGAGAGGGACAGTGTAGAGCTGAGTGCTAATCCACAATGATCTACAATTTATCCATATTCATGCCTCTAATGACCCTTTGCTTGCTGAAAAGTAAAACCAAAAGTAATACCAAAAGTAGAACCCATGGACAAAACCGAGTCGGGACGGACAGTGTTTCGGGGAATTAAGTGCTGAGAATCCTCAAGACCGAGAGCATCTTACAATCTCGATCATCCTCCATCATATGATATCCTGAGAATTGCCATACGGTGCAGAAGGCGATTATGAACCAAGTTAGCAGTCAAAGATGACAGTACACATTTGCTGACAGTACCGACTTGACTCATCAAAGCTCCAACGGAAGAGAAGAAGGTGGCAGGTGGCAACACTGCTCGACAAAACTTTTGGTGTTTTTCTTCCAGTACCCAACATTGGTTGGTGTATGAGCGGCAGAACAGCAAGAGCTTGTGACCCCAGCCGGAGCAAGAGAATGTGAACCACCGACTCACTGGAGGACACGTCCGTTCCAAACGAGGAGCATCCTAAAGCTCTGACCTCAGTAGAGGGATGCGGACGGCACAGCATGCGGAGGCCCGAGACTGCATAGCGATCAGTTCCAGCTCTGCGGCAGTCGACGAGGGAAAGCCTGGACGGTACAGCGTGAGCTTGCTACCCCTTGACATGCGACGTCCCTCCGTTTGCCTCATACTTTCTCTCGTCAGGACTCCTATTCCATATTTCCGCACTTCAGCAACTCAAACTACTGCCTAAAACAGAAATGCGTTCTACAGACATCTGCCAAAGTGAAAAGCGACCTAGAGGACTGTGCACTGGGATCCACGTCAGTGTACAGCCAGATGTGCACCACGGCAGAATATCGATGCAGATAAGACCTTCCTGGGCTGGTAGTTGAAGAGAGGTTGTAAAAAAATGCACTGTGTCACTTTGGCATATGACTGCAACACGTCAGCTAACTGCCGGATGCGCGGGGGAGAGAGCCCGTGACCCTGTCTTGTCGGACTCATCCAGGCATAAGGGAAGCTTGCGGTAGGTGACCGAGAGTTAATCAATGCCTGCATTGTTCTCGTACAAAGGTAGCAGTTCTTGTCACTTCTGACTGCATCTTGGCGAGATACGTTTACAGCTTCCTCGGTAACTGAAGGATAAATAAGGTTCGGCACGCAAAAGTGCCAAAATTGGACTTCATCAGGTCGAATTGGGAAGTACATGAAAAACATGACCGTCAAATATCCACATCGCTTGCGAAGTCGCATTGTCAAGCTACGAGCTCTTCCTGCCTCTCGAAATTTCGACAACCCAATGCTAACTGCACCTTAGTTCTCCCAACCCAACACCTTCCTCGACCTGACCTACTGGTTAGAGTCAGAGCGTTGAGAGCAAAAAGTAACATCGCGACTTGAGGTTTCAATCGCATCGAGCTTCCCAATCACTCATCTGTCCTACCAGTGCTGCGCAAATTTCCTCGCAGCCAACGACCTGGTGGTCGGCAATATCTGAATCTGACGCCAGCTCGAACTGAAGAAAAGACGCAATGGACCGTATATTAAGACAGCGCGAGTGTTTAGATTAAGTTCAGCTCAGCAACCCACATGCGACAGTGTTAATGGAATATCAGTATGGACCACTGACTGTTTGAGAAAGAACGCAAGGCCAAGCTCTGACTTTGGTGACACAACCTGTAACGAAATAATTAGACTTAAGATATGTATATCGGCTGTGATCACATAACCATTTCCAACGAACGAGGAGAGATTGTTTACAAGATTGTTGATGTTCTTCGGTATTCAATTTCGTTGACCTTTTTAGAGCGGATAATTTTCTGAAGTAAGAACAACAAACGTGTGGCTTCTATCACAAAGTATTTCCAAGGAGAATTTCTCTTGGTCTTCTCGAAAGCACTCCTCGCACGACACGAGGGCCGCTGAAGACAGATCTTGTTAATCTCGAGAACTACCCCACCTTGAAACATGGCTTTGGCCTGAACGAATCCATGTGTCATACTAGCTTGGTCTGGTGATTGCACACGGCTCATCTCCGGCAGTTTCTGCACTGTTGGTGTGGGCGTAACCATCTCATGTAAATCTAAAGAGACCTCACAAGAACTCAAAGAAATCAGTCTCTTGAATGGTGCATGCTCAAAAATAACACCAACATCGACTCAGTTTTGGGGACAACTTTACAGACGTGTGTTGGAGCCAATATGGCAGTAGATTTGTCTTGTAAAAGACATAAAAATACTGTCTACCTCCTCACATTTAAATTTACTATCTACCTGAGAGGAACAGTTCTCACCCCTCTCCAAATGAAAGTCTAACTAGTAAGTATCATACATTTTACTAAGTTGCTGAACCAAATAAAGTTGACGCTATGATATCTGTGCGTAAGCGCGTTGATACTCGACAACTGTCAAAGCCGTCGAAGCTACAAAAGTTCAACAACAGGGACTCTTAACGTGCAGGCACGGAGAATAGGGAGGACAGGATTACAGAAAACTGAACGAGGAAAAGGGAAACAAAAGAAAGGAGGAGAGAAACTTTATCGCATGGTAACTCCAGGATCCTCAAGGCCCATGCGCTTTCCCTCTCCTCGGGTAAACCCTTCAAAGTTCCAGCAAGAACTGGGTCCAACTTCCTCGACTTACCCCACTTGGGGGTTTGAAATGTCTTAATCAACCGTAGCTAAACTGCGAACTATCATCCTACAATTAAAAAGAACAAATGCCGCTGGCCCATAATCCATCGAGATCAGTGTGCCTCAGAATGGAAATCTGGAGAAAGGCAAAAAAAACAGCCTTTTGGGCGACCATAATCTCTCTGAAACTCCACTCTTCGCTGTCAAAAAACTCGTCGATCTCACCTGCCTGCGTCTCGGCAGTGTCATCACTTACGCTGCTGTAAGGATCTCACCGCCTAGGACGTCGACTTCAGGATCGATGACTTCAACATCGATGACCTTCTCAGGGAGGCCCTTCTCAATTTTCTCCAAATCGTTGGGCAGCTCCACCTGGTCAGGGACTTTCTCTGTGGCTTGAGCGACAAATTCGGGATCCTCGTCCTTGACCCCCTCCACTAGAGGAGCTCTGATTTCGGGAGTCGCTTCCTTTGCAACCACTGCCTCCTCCCCACGCTCCCTCTTCTCTTTGGCTACCTTTTGGAGCTTCAAATACTCCTCTTTCTTCAATTTGACATCTTCCACCGCCTTGGGTGCGTCCCCAACCGTTAAAGGAGGCGAGAGCTTGACCTTTTGAAACGAAGTCAGCACATCCAGCGACAAAGACAGTCTTTCCTTCTCCTTGCTCTTCGTGGCAGTTGGCGCTTTAGTCTTCTTACCCTTGCCTTTGGCACCAGACCCAAGAAACCAGCCGTCTAGCTCTTCATCGTTTCTGCTCTTTTTGCTGATAAGGACATTCCCTACACCCTTCGGAGCGACAATTTCTGCCTTTACGGCCACAGCAGAAGAGCTCTCCTCTACTGCCGGGGCGTGCTTCTGAAGGTACGAGATGAGCTGATCGCAGATAATTATCTCGTCAGTGTAAGGTTCCACAAAATTCTCGAGTTCCCTCTCTTTGCGAATTTTCTCTCGCTCCTTGCGTTCTGCTTCTCTCTTCTCGTAATCTTTGCGCCTTTGAATAGCTTGTTGTTCCTTCCATTGCCTTTCCCTCTCCCAGTACTCGTCTTCCTTAGCGCGGAAATCCGCTTTCAACTCCTTCACTTCGTCCCGTAATGACTTGATCTTGTCAAAGGCATCATTTCTCTGTTGAATCAGATTGGGAATGTCGATGGCCTGAGCTGCATCCCTTTCTCGCAACCGCGCCAACAGCTTTCTTTGCTGATCCTGGTGTGCCTTCAAGCTCGTCAGCATCTCATCCTTCTCCCGGATTATCTGCATGATCCCTGCCCGAGAAGCTTCTTCTAGAGTAATCTGTTCCATTCTATCGTTGTAATCCCTGACAAAGTCCCTCGATTTCGTCAGGTCCTTCACCTGCTGCAGCAATTTCTTCTCCTCCTGAAGAGTGAGAGACGTGTGAGTCATCATGTACTCGAGCTTCTTGATCTCCTCCTCGATCTGCTCCACACGCACGTACGGCAACTTCTCGCGTAACGATCTTGCATCTGCACGCATCCTCTCCCTCGTTTTGTCGGCAACATCCAGCTCTTCTCGCAGAGCCCTCTTCTCATCCATCACAGATCGAAAAGTGGCGGTTAACTCATTCAGTTGGCTCCGGGCCTCCACCACATCTTGCGGCAAAACATGTTTGTTTTGCTGCTTGCTATCGATGATAGTCTTAATTTCGAAAATCCTGGCCTGCAGACCATCAATTTCCTCAAAAACCTTCGCCACCTGCTCATCCAGAACTGCCTTCAGAGGCCGCTCGAGCCTCTTCACCCTCTGCACCCGCGGGGACGGGGCGACCTTCGCCTCGCCATCGGCAACCACCCCGAGGTCCAGAGGCCGGACAGCGCTCTCGACGAGCTCCACCATGACGCCCCCCACCCCTGCGCTTCGTCCACGAGAAGCGCGACCTCGAGCACCAGACGAACCGCGACTCCTCGAGCAGCGACCACCGACGCCACCACCACAAATCGGCCCTCGAATCAACAACTCTCGCACCGAATTGCCTGCGCAGCTCGTCCCGGCCTCCTCCTCATCGACCACCCCGACCGACGTGACCTAATCGGGCTCTCCGCAACCAAACGCCTACAGCGCCGAGGCAGAAGTCGGATTCTCAGACTGAGGCAGGCGCGTGCATCCCCCGCGCCGGAGCCCGTCTCGCCGTTGCGCGTCGCCTCGGTGCCGCAAAGTGAAAGTGAAGCCTGCAGCGCTGCTCCTGTCGCATCTCAGGCGCCAACGAACAGAGCGCGGCCGAAGAAAGCAACTGGCGCGGGATCGACGACAGGGTCCCTACCCAACAGCTGGACTTCAGCTCCGGCGGCAGCGGTCGTCCCATCCCACGATCGGTCTTCGGTCCCGTCGGACTCCCGGGTCATCCCTCCGCAGCTCCCGCTGACGGCCAGCCGATGTGCTGCTGCAAAGATTGCCGAGACGTCTATGATTAATAAATGTTCGAATGACGCAGTCTTGCGTCTCTCTGCGACATGCCGTACCGGATTCATATTCAAGATCACGCGGAGAGTGCGCAAAATGTGTGTCTGAAATCACTGTATTTCGTCAATTCTTCAACGTTAGATAAAATTATGTTTATTTCATTGAAATCTGATGCTTCCCATCTTCGCAGATGTTCTTGGCTTAAAGCAAAGCTGCAAAGGTGTTAAGCTGCAAGTTTTACTCCAGTAACTCCATTAGTTTCTCTCACAAACGGTCACGGCAAAGTTTTAGCTAAGTATTTCTGGTAGTTTCTCCAGTAATACCACCTAGGTCAACAAATATATTGTCACAAACTGTCACCCCAAATGTTTAGTTGAGTGACTCCAGCAATTTCTCTACTAAAGACACCTAGATAACAAAGACTTTTTTTTGAAAATACGGAATTTTCTGAAAACGAAATACAGAAATAGGACTCTCAAGTTCCATATTTGCCGTATTTAGAGAGACCTGCTCATATGTAACCAAAGCTTTCAATTGGTCAGATATATCAATATTATAATGGGAGTTGAAAATGTTGACTCCCAAGGATGCACATGCCGATTTTACCATGCTCGCCTATTTAGCACCATCGTAGAGAATATTTCATCAAATCGTTGTAAAGAGTATAAGCAGATACGTATTACCATATTTCTCAATGCATATCTTGTCCAACAACTTCAATCAAAGATGTGTCAAATTTAACCTATTGAACATAAACTTTATTTATTTTAAAACATCCATGCAAAGTTTGTAGATCGCATGGGGTGCATAATTGTACTTAAACATGAACTCATTCGATGTAAGTTCTTGCACAGCTTGATCATGATGCTTTGTGAATTGTTGTAGAAGCGGAACATCCATAGATTAACAAAGCGTTCATTCTTGCTGTAGGATAGTCTTTTTTCATCTAATGTTGAAAAGCTTCAAAACAATTGTCTACTTCTACCATCCTTTTGATATTTTTGATAAGACAAAACTAGTAGAAAATTTACACATATGCACTACAAGTCATAGCTTGCAATTTAAAATTCATTTTAACAAATTCATTGCACTTTATTAACACAGTTTCATTATAAAATGTTACCAAAAACGTTGCAACTAGTGAACAGCCCATCAAGTTGATCACCCGCTTATCCTGCACATTTGTGGCGTCGTTTAAGGTAAAGGCAGATCAACTAAATCTTGCTCAATGTGAGAATAAAAACATTGATTACATGTAAGCAAGCATGACTAAAATAGACAATTGTATGCGGAGACGTCTAAATAACCTAAATGTTCCTTCATTATTGCAACTAAATTAAGGGACCATATGTTGTACCATAGGTTTCTCAAATGCTTCAGCTAGTGTTAGTTTTGGATGATACAACATGTAAACTCAATTCATGATTCGTGACATAAGCTTCCAATGTTGGAGCCATCTAGTGGTATATCATCCAAAGATCTATGAGTAAAACAACAATTTTTCTCAGATCTTTTAATTGAAGAAAATTTCAACGTTTAAGAATAAACAATTTGCAAATTCAACTGTACAATTAAAACCTTAACTTCTTATCCAATCTTTCTTTTCTTCCATTCATTTGATCTCCGCTTAAACTAATCATTCATTATGCGATTAAATCAAGTTGATTTAGATAAATTATGCGACTGATTAAAATAAACATGTCTAAATATAAATATTCATCCTCCATCAATTGACCACTAATAGCTTCTGTACAAGGAAGTAGAAAGCTGCCGCAAAGCAACTAAAAGAACATCTTCTATGCCGGATGCTCAAATGTGGAAAATAACATAGTGTGTGATGATTAACAAATGCAAATAGTGTATAGAATTTCTACTGTTTGTACCTTTTTAAGAAATCAAAATGCTTACTAATGCTAGAGAATAAATTGTCCTCATAATTCTTCAAAGTACACTAACTTATTCCGGTTGTTGTTGACAGAACCAAAGAACTAATGATTAATCATACCATTTTCTTTCAAGATGGTTGGAACCCACATTTAGTTAGCCTATTGAATGTGCACGATTTTTATCGCTAGCATAGTGATTGCACATGCGATCCACAGCCGCATAGTGATTACGGCTGTGGATCGCATGTGCAATCACCTTTTTGTTACAAGCAAAATGCTTTCAGTACATTGAGTTGAGATCGCACTGTTTGTAGGAAGTTCCGAACTTCTACCAACGGGCAACTTTTGGCTTTCCATTTCAAGTAAAATCTATGACAAATATGAAATCTAACTAACAACACTTGTGCGGACTCCTACATATTCCACTACATATTTTTTATTATATATATATACAAGTGATATTATATAATACATAAATATAATACCAAGGATATAATACCGCAATTATACATACAAAGCTATATTTGTGATGCATATGTTATGACATAAATTCGTATATATATGTCAAATTTTGAATTGTGACTTCTGAATGAAGAAAATATTTTAGAGTGAGTAATTGAAAAATGGATCCATAGAGCCATGTCAATCAAAGTGAAAAATAACTTCTAGAGTCTATTTTCTATTATTGAAATTTTATCTAGACATTTGTATTTTTTCCTTTTCTCAGCAAATTCTTGATTTTTAAAGATATTGTCAAGTCAAGGAGGAAGTTAATGTTGCAATAGCAAAGGTCTATTTTGAATTTCGCATTTGGATCATTTGTATTTCATATTTTCACCACTACGGTAGATTTCATGTGAAATTTCTTGCCATGCTCAAAACTTGACTATATTTAATCTAACCCTCATACTAAACCGCACTCTTCACGTTGAAACTTCCTTCTTAACACTATTCATATCGAACACAACTTCAATTGGAGTCAAGCTAGATTGCTATCACCATCCTCTCATATGGGCAATCCTACATCTCACATGTGTGAGCACATAAAGTAGTGATCACAATCAAGACCTAATTTTTTGTATGATTGATTTTGAATTCATTCTTGTTAATCTTTTATCCGTTTTGACGTTCTACATCTAGAGGTACAACAACAAGCTATACTGACATGTTGGCATAGAATGAAGTCAATTTTTTTTCCAAGCCTTAGAGTAAATTGACAAGAATCATCAAGTATCCAGTTATATGGATATGGAAAGAGTTGAGAACTTATCCTAGTCTTTGAATCAACTAACAAAGACAATATGGTTAGATGACAACTACAATTATCTATACTATTTGTTCTAGGGATGATTCAAGTATTTTATTCAAATCATGTCATATTCTCCTCTTGTGATGTTATTGAGGCCTAGTACCTTCCTAGACCTTGCTTCCATCATAGTAGGACTTGTTCATGTCCTATCGTCCTTTATAATATTGAATTTATTTAAGTTAAAGAAGATATATAAACTGCATAACTTTTAAGCAAAAACCTATTCCATTTAATGCAAATATCGAATTGTAGAGGTTCAAAAAAGCAATAATGTGACTTTGGATATCAACCGTTGCTAGGAAGCAACATTGAAGAACATTAACAATGCAAGAAACAAGGTTAGTTGTACTTGATGTTTTAAAGTAAATTGAACAAAGTTTTAGGTTCAATGAAATTACCGCGAAGCAAAATACAAGCTAGACGGACTGTTACTGCTCTACTCGACGATAACTCATGCGTGAACTTGAGGTTCCTCTGTGACAGTCGGTGACTGACTGAATCGAGTCATCCTGGTGGCCTCGGTTGGGATCCCGTGAGAGATTTAGCTCTAACCTCTTACCCACAGTTTTCCTTATCATCGTTGTCGTTTGTAACCCAGCGGATGAGTCTAGTGGAAGCCCGATGCTTGCTAGATCCGCTTTTCCAAGATCGCAATCTTCCGGTTGGAGAGGTTACGGATAATACCGACGCGATACGGAAGAAAACCTTCCTCGCTAGCTCCCCTAGATCAAACGGAACCAAACAACTCTGTTCGAGACATTTATTGTTGCGTCTTCATCTGATGTGGGATCAATTTGGCGGTGCGAGAGTTTTGCTTCATGGCATTAGACACAAGAGCCCAAGTATGAGGAGAGTTTTTTGAATGTTTTGCGTGTAGAGAGCAATCTCTAGATTGGAAAAAATTAATCATGTGGAATAATTATTTAATTCATTTCTCATGATGATCGATTGCAAAAAAGAGGGTGCCGAGTATGAGTGCCGTGGCCCTGTTGGTATCGGCGGAATGTACCGCTTTACGACATGAGCTGTCATCTCCGGACTGAATGCCGCCAAATCACGAATGCAACTATCTCGCTGAATGCCTCAGTTTGGTATGAGCTGGAACCGTAAACTCCAAGCCGCAGAAAGTACATGAGGATATCAGCTTCTATGGTTTTTGTTATAACAGATTTGAAAACAATAAAGACAAAGAACAACACACAGATTTACGTGGCTCACCAAATTGACTACATCCACGGGCAGAGGGAGATCAGATTTTGATTAGAGATAGAATTAGAGATTACGACGGCTAGAGTTTACATAGCTACTACCCTACCAGAATTGTACCGCAAGACAACGGCCCAATATATAATAATAGACAAACCATTAAAGCCCGAACTACAAACATCGTGTACCGTTTGGCCCTGGAGCGTCTCCGCTCCATGGACTCCCAACTCGCTGATTTGGCAACGAGACCCTAGTGCTACCTGTCATAGTGTGTGATTCAGTCTTCGTATTTAAATCATCACAACGAATCTCTTCCTTGACTTGAATCCTCCTGGTAGACTCTT